CAAGAATGTGTAAGCATTGAAACGTGTGATTATGGGTTCACGGTTTGGTTAGGGTGGAAGTAGAATCCGCGTGTAGAGTTTGTATACGGTTTCGGCAGGGAAGGAGGGGTCGTATTCATGGAGGGATTCCTAAGGTGAACAAATTTCTGGGTAATCCATTGTCCAGCATTTGTACGTATGCCCTGTGCCCGCTCAATCCATTTTCTCTAGCTTATCCCTCCCCAAGACCACCACCTTCATGTAACCCCATACAAGCTTAATCTACTCAAAATTACAATCATACCGCGGAAACCATTTTTACCAACGATCATGAGCTTAGGGTTAAGATAAAAAATCACGGCTTATCATTCTGATTTGCCTGTAAGTAATACAGCAACACAGCCATTCTGCAATGTGAGCGGGCTATGACTTAGGTGAAGTTAGGCTGTGCTTGTGGGTCATCATGGAACTACTACCTGACCTACCCACGTGACAGCTGATGAATGATATGATTATCCCCACGTTGCCATCACGTTATAAATCACCCAAATGCCGTGACTTTAGGAGGGTTGCTACAAAAGCTATGAGTTCACAGCGATCTTCATGTCCTGTCCGTTGAAAATCATGGTGACAACCATGGAAAATAAGACTGATTCGATCGGTCAGCGCGCTTCTGACGAACACACCAGGGTGAACAGGGCTACAATCGGCAATTCAAGAAGAACGACAATACGACCAACAGTGGCAACAGCCGTTCACCAGCACAGCCGCAACGTCGGTTCTCGTGGACCGCGAGTAAGACAGGCGTTTAAGATATAGAGTGATATATTGAAAGAGAAAATCTTTCAAGGGTTTATCCCAGTTTGGTAGCCTACTATCCAAATCCGACTACCTAAAAACCGGGAGAGGGCAGGTTCGTCCTTATGATCGCCGCTTATGGTCCGTTCGGGAACCCCACTACACCGTGGTCATCCCTGATGATCCATAACTGGTGGCGGTACTTCTACTCGAATTCCCACGTCGAACAGCAGTATTTTCGTGGTGACTACCGTACCCTCCAACTAGAAATTCACTCTTTTTACTTCGTCGCGACTATCCTATCCTTCTTGGCTTGCAGACGTTATTGCTGGTCTTCGTCGCGACCATGACCGGTCAGGCACTTGCTTTGGCCCTGGAGCAATATGGAGGCAATCTGGAGGTGGCAGCATAAAATGGCAGCGCCCAAGAAAACCGAACCATCAACCCCGCCTAGCCGCCCAATCCAAAGTCCACATCGCTAACCACCACACCATTCGTCGTTGCTGACAGCTCAACCGTGGAGAGCATACATGTAGCTTCCCCGCACTGTTCAACATGTGGCTCCCTTTTTTGGCTACCGTTCAGGTCATTTTCAATGTCGCCTCCACTGGCACCTTCTACTGTGCGGACAGTCGACGCCATGAATGAAACAAACGACGCTTAGTGGGTTAACACGGCGATTTCTGACAAAATAATTTTCACTCCTTTTTTGGCATT